CGCGGAGCGCGCCAGGGCCGGCGCCGGAGGCGCCGCCAGAGGGCCCCAGCGCGGATCCAAGAAATCCGCGCGGAGGGACAAAAGCCTACGTTTATGCGGTCTCTTCTTCCTCGAGAACTGATAATCGCCCCGTCCCCGCCCGACGTCCTCCTCCTCCTCCTCCTCTATCCTCCTCCTCCTCCTCCTCCTCCCCCTCCTCCTCCTCCTCCTCCTCCTCCTCCTCCTCCGCCTCCTCCTCCTCCTCCTCCTCCTCCTCCCCCTCCCCCTCCCCCTCCCCCTCTCCCTCCCCCTCCCCCTTCCCCCTCCCCCTCCCCCTCCCCCTCCTCCTCCTCCTCCTCCTCCTCCTCCTCCTCCTCCTCCTCCCTCCTCCTCCACCCTCCTCTATCTCCTCCTTCCTCCTCCTCCTCCTCCTCCTCTCCTACTCCTCCTCCTCCTCCTCCTCCTCCTCCTCCTCCTCCTCCTCCTCCTCCCCTCCTCCCCCTCCTCCTCCTCCTCCTCTACTCTATCCTCCTCCTCTATCCTCTCCTCTCCTCCTCCTCCTCCTCCTCCTCCTCTCCTCCTCCTCATCCTCCTCATCCTCCCCCTCCCCCTTCCCCTCCACCCCTCCACCCCCCGTCGCCTGCTGCATCTGCATCGTGATGACGCAGCCCTCCGCCGCGCCCTGCGCGGGCGCGGCCGCCTCCTGCGCGCGCGCGCCCGCGGCCCGTCAGGACAAGCGGCGAGGAGAGAAGGAGATGCAGGAGAGAGGCTGTATTCGCCGCTGGCTTTGCGCTAGGCGTGCTCGCTCCGTGTAGGGGCGGGTGGCGCTGCTGCCGACGGGGCATGGCGCTTGCGCCACCGCCGAAAATGGGAAGCATAAAGAAAACAACCAGCCGCAAAGCTGGCAAGAAGAAAGATGGTGCAACGAAACACCTGTGACACCAGGCGGCTTCTGTCGCGATTGAATCTGCGCGCTCCAAAACACAGCGTGAAGGGACAGGCGGACCACTAACGGAGCGGGAAAGAATGGGAGGCTCGAAGGCCCGACGGGCGGGCGCCAACCCAGCCAGGAGGCGAGGAGAACGAGCAACGAGCGAAGCGCTCGAAACTGTGGCTGTCAGTGCAGCTGCAATCAAGACATCCAACAACGCGCGGACGAACCGACACCGCCAACCAAATGAGCTGGGCACACATCGGTCGGAAGAAATGGGTAGAAACATTAGGTAGGAAGGCGGATCAAGTAGATGGGGTTCAGGCCCTCCCAGAGAGTCACAGAACACAGCAACAGCACCTCGACTTGAAGTGGGAAGGCGCTTGAAGTAGATTGGGATCCGGGAGCCCAGACATATCTGCTCTCCGCGACCGGCGTGCACGTGCGCCTGCGCGGGGCGCACAGCGATGGAGGGCAACGGCCTGCCGCACGCGCGCACGGCCGCGGCCCGAGCGGCGCGAGCGGGGAGACCCTGAGGGGGGAGCATGCAGGCTGACAGGCCCCAACTGGGAGACGGGATTGGGCAGACTGCAGCGCAGGCGTCTGAAGACGGGCCTATCACAGCTGAGGCCAGAAGCAGCGCAGAGGCCAGTGCAAGAACGAATCGCACGAAAGCGCACCCAGCTGACTTCGAACCCAGGCCTCCGGCGCCGTCAAAGCCAACCGTGCCGCAAGAAGAGCGCATGAGTCTGGGCGGGGGCCCGACTGAGGCGAACGCCGAGTGGGGGGCGACCACCCACAAGCAGATCCCCTGGGCAGACCTACGGCAATGTCTAGAGCCTGGAGCCTGCTGCAAAGAGAAGGGCAGCTAAGAAGAACGCACTGGACCGCGAAGCAAACCAGGCCCAGCACAGGCAGCACAGCCTCGTGCGGGCCAGCTTCCTGGCATGGCGGGAGTGTCGGGATACGCCTGCGCTCTGCAGTCCTGCTCGAGGGGCAGAGCGTGTGCCGTCCAACGTTCCCGACGCAGAAAAAGGTTTGACTGCTTTGCGCACCTCGGCGCTGCGAGGCCAGCCAGTGTGCGAGATTGTCCCGCATTGCGAGCGCGTGGGCGGCTTCTTGGGCATACGCTTGGTTGAAATAAGAGAACCAACCGCCAAGCCCTACCCCCGCGCGACTTGCAGCTGGGAGGCTGCACTGAATCGGAAGAACCCCCCACATCCTTGCCAGCGCCCCTCATGGGCGGCGGGTCGTACCCCGAAGACTTGGACTACTCGCGTGTGAGCAAGGGCGGGCGCTCGTGCTCCGGCAAGGCGCCGAGCTGAACGGCGTCCTCGTACGTGCGTCCTACCCGCTTGGCCCCGAAGTGCACGCTCATGTTTCCCGCAATCCACTCCCGATGGGCCCTCACGAGCCCTCAATGTTGTCGGAGACCTGTGCCTGTGGCAACCAGTGGTCGCGAGGGCAACACAACTCTTGAGCAATCGTTAGGTCGGGCATGCCCCCTACAGAGAGATTTGGGGCGAAAAATTAAAACTAGTCACAAAATACCCCCCCAAATGGGCAAAAAGAATCCAAACCTCGTGTCCCCAGACGACTTGCCAGTTCTGAATGCTTCTCCTGTAGAGGGACAGGCCCGACTTCAAGCAATCGCCCTCGAGCTGCGTCGCCGAGCGCCCTCGGCCCTCGAACGAATGTCGGGAGCGGCCAAGAGGGGGGTGTCCAAGAGGGGGGGGGGTGCAAATCATGACCGGCGGCATTGGCGCGGCCCAGCGGGGGGGCCAGGGACGCGATAAAATAGGAAGGGGCGCCCTGAAATCTGGGGAAATACCATGGCCCCCGCCATGATATCCACCCCCCCCCTGGTCATCACTCGGCTACACGCAAGAGTGACCCTGGGTAAGAGTGACCTCTGGTGCGCGGCTTTTTGGGGGCCGCGGGGGGGCCAAACCCGGGCGCGCAAGCCGCTGTCCCTGCCCCGTTTTCGGCCATCTCGGGACCCATCTGTGCCCGCACCAAAGGTCACTCTGGCGGGGCCCGACGCCCTCGCCTGCGGCGCCGCGGTCGGGGCCTGCGGGAGAGGCGCGCCGGCGGCGGGCACCGGCGGGCGGGCGCCCCGGGGCAGACTCCTACAGCCAAGACGCTGAAGTATGAGGAGCACGCGGGGGCAACGATAGGGTGGGATAGGCATGGTGGGGGGGGGGGTGCATCGACCTGGAATCGGCGATGCATTACCGATAGATCGGCGATAGGCCTCCTCCTTGCCGCCCCCGGGAGGTGCGAGCGGGGGCGGCCCGCCCGGCAGGCAGGCGCGGGGGCCGCGCGCGCCCGAGGAGGACGGCGGGCTTCGGCGCGGCGGCACGGCTCCCGGAGGGCACCGACCCCGCTGGGGCGCCCAGGGACATGCTAGTGCTGGATCTTGCCGTCGCTCGGACGTCCATGTCCCGTGCACTTGTCGGTCTCGTGCGTGGTTTTTGTTCCTCGATGGTCCAGGATGGTCCTCGTGGTTGCTCGCCGAGAAAAAATGCGCACGTCCAAGCGATGCCAAGGCATGTCCTCCCTGGAGGCGCACGTCCGACCCGAACATCTAGTACACCCATCTTGCAGTACATCGTTTCTCGAGCGGTGTGTGACTACCTACCAGACCACCCCAACCCAACCCGAAGACCCCAACCCCAACCCAACCCGAAGACCACCCCAACCCAACCCGAAGACCCCAACCCAACCCTGGATCTTGCCGTCGCTCGGACGTCCATGTCCCGTGCACTTGTCGGTCTCGTGCGTGTTTTTTTGTTCCTCGATGGTCCAGGATGGTCCACGTGGTTGCTCGCCGAGAAAAAATGCGCACGTCCAAGCGATGCCAAGGCATGTCCTCCTTGGAGGCGCGCGTCCGACCCGAACATCTCGTGTACCCCTCTTGCAGTACATCGTTTCTCGAGCGGTGTGGCCAGGAAAGCGCCCGCCACGACGCAGATCTGCTATAGGATTTCTCGGTGCGCGCGTCGCCCCTGGGGGGCGACGCCACACACAGCAGAAGCATGTGGGGGGGACGCCGATGCGCATGCAGCTGCGCTTCCGCATCGCCTGCGCACGCGCTGCGGACGCGTCGCCCGGCAGCCTCCCTGGGCGGGGAGCGCGCGCGCCTCTGGCGAGGCGGCACGGGGCGGCCCACGGAGACGGGCGCGGGCTCTGACACTGGAGCGCTGGCAGCGGGCGAGCGGACGCCTCACTGGCAGACAGTGGTGATGGCGTGCGACACCAACTGTCGAGCCGGCGCTGCGATACGTCAAGTGGACGCGGGAGAGGGACGCCGACGGCCTCGACCGGTCAACCTCCAGAAGCATCACCGAGAGCAGCAGGAGGCGGAACAGTGTGCGAACTTTTGGAGCGAATGGCAACTTTGGGAGCGAATGGCAAATGGCAACTTTTGGAGCGAATGGCAACTTTGGGAGCGAATGGCGACTGTTGGAGCGAATGGCGAGTGCAGCTCGGTCGCTGGACCTGCGCCTGCCACCGGTGCTGCGCCGCTGGAGCCTGCCGTGGCCGTGGCTGGAGCCTCCGGCGTGAGCGGGGGGAGCACTGGGGTGGCTGGTTCCCCCAAATCCTGGCACGGGGCAGCATTGAGCAGCAGCGGACGGCGCCGCGGCTGTGCTTTCGGGCATTTCGTAGATGCCGTTCCCTGTCACGTTCTCGGCGATGCGCCTTCACTCAGGAGAGACAAAAGTACCACTACCACCAGCTAGGGGAGTGACCGCTCCCTCCCCTCGAGCTGGTGGCACCTCCTTCAGGGCACTCTATGGAGGCATGCCCTGAACGAGGTGCCACCAGCTCGAAGGGGCGGGACAACCACCCCCCTAGCTGGTGGTAGTGGTACTTTTGTCTCTGGTGATTCACCTGTCCCGTGCTAGTCCCCCTGGTCCAGTGGACGGGGCCGCATGCCCCCACAAGCGGCGCGCCGCTCGCCTCGCTGGAGGCCCGGGGCGGCTGCCTCGGCGTGGAGCCTTCGCCTCGCCGCCGCCTCGCCGACGTGGCCCAAGAGCAGGTGGTGGTGCCTGGGGCAGCGGCGGCGCCGGGGGGTGCATCGACGGCAGAGGCGGAAGATGCAGGCCGATACCCATCCCACTCCGCGCCTGCTGTCGCTCGAGGCGAGCGAAGCACTGGGGCCGTGCCGAAAAAAGTGAGCTCGTGCGCGGAAGGGGGCAACCCGGCTGCGGCTATGGCTCGGGCCTGAGAAGAGAGGTTGGGGGAGGGAGAAGGAATGAGGGAGGAGGAGGAGGGAGGAGAAGGAAGGAGGAGTAGGGAGGGAGGAGGGGGAGGAGGAGGAGGAAAAGGAGGAGGAGGAGGAGGAGGCGGAGGGGGAGGAGGGGGGAGGACCAGTGTAAACCCAAGTGTCATCAACGATGTTGGAATTAACCCTCCCTCCAAACTCCCTCTCCGTAGGCCCCTAATTACGACGGTCATTCCCATTGAGGGAACTGCCTCGTTGGAAGACAACCGTTCGAAGATCCTGAAGCGTGCCAAAACATCGTTCTCGGGATTCCAACGCCACGTACCAACCCGACTGCTGAGTCTTGACGATCCAGGAATCGTGCCAGAACGCCGTTTTTGGGATTTCAACACCGCAAATCAACATAACAATTGCGCCCACGTAATCTGGAATCGATCATGGAAATCCGTGAAACGTTTGCACAACTATAAAACGAATGCACGCGGCGCTAAAAATGAGAGCCACATGTTGATAGAATAAACGCCTCAATTCGCGAAACTCTTGCAAAATTGTCAAAGAAATGTACGCGGCGCTAAGGCGAGAAACACAATTTGAAAACCACCCGCCCTCAATTCGTGAAGCTCCTGCAATTGTTTAAAACGAATGTGCGCGGCGCCAAGGCGAGAAAAACATTTTGAAAACGACCCGCCCTCAATCCGCAAAACACTTGCAAATGTTTGAAATGAAGGTGGGTATCGCTAAGGCGAGAGCTACATTTTGACAAGGAACTGCACTCAATCCGTGAACCTCTTGCAAATGTTAAAAACGCGGCGCTGAGGCGATAACCACATTTTGAAAACGACCCGTCCTCAATCCGTGAAGCTCTTGCAATTTTTAAAACGAATGTGCGCGGCGCTAAAACGAGAACAATATTTTGAACACGACCCGCACTCAATCCGTGAAACGCATGCAATGGTTTGAAACGAATGTGCGCGGCGCTAATGCGAGAACCATACTTTGAAAACGGCCCGCCCTCAATCCGTGAAGTGAATCTCTTGTAACATGTTGAAACGAATGTGCGCGGCGCTAAGGCGAGAGCCACATTTTGAAAACGACGCGCCCTCCATCTGTGAAACTGTTGTCACTTTTTTTAAAGCTTCAGAACCATAAATGGTGACAAAGTCTCAGGCGGCCCCCCCGGCCCGCCCTACAAATTGGCCTCGAGGTGCGACAAGGAAAAATGATCTAGAAGGAGCCAGAATGGGGGAGGAGGAGGGGGAGGAGGAGGAGGAGGAGGAGGATGAGGAGGAGGAGGAGGAAGGGGGAAGGGAACGCTACAATTGGAGAATTGAAGTTGGCGCAACGTCAAAACCAGGTAGGAGGACGGGGCATGGAGGAGGATGGGGTATGGAGGAGGGAGGAAGATGAGGGAGGAAGGGTGAAAGGAGAGGGAGGGAGGACAAGGAGGAGAAGCAGGACGACGACGACGACGACGACGATGATGACGACGAGGGCGCCAGGAGCTCAGCCGCGATCCTGCTTGCCAGGCGCAGCAGCCGCCTGCGGCGGCGCCCGCGGCTCCGTAGCCCTGGCCTCGCGCGTCGTCGTCGTCGTCGTCGCCGCCGCCGCCGCCGCCGCCGCCACCGCCGCCGCCGTCGCCGTCGCCGCCGCCGCCGCCGTCGTCGCCGTCGTCGTCGTCGTCGTCGTCGTCGTCGTCGTCGTCGCAGTCGTCGTCGCAGTCGTCGTCGTCGTCCTGCTCCTCATTCTCCGTCCTCCACGTGCTCCTCCTTCTCCTCCCCCCACTTTTCCTCCCTTTCCTCCTCCTCCTCCTCATCCTTCCCTCCTCCCTCCTCTTTCCTCCCACTCTCCTGTCCCGTCGCCCATCCTCCCGGCCTCCTCCCCCTCCTGCTCCTCGGTGGGGCAGCAGCAGGAACACGAGGTGAGCGGGAGGGTGGGAGCAGGCGCAGGAGCGAGGGAGGCAGGGGGGGGACGAGGAGGGCCGGAGCAAAGTCAGGATGCACCAGCGATGCTGCAACGCACCCTCCTCCTCCTCCTCCTCCTCCTGCTCCTTCTGCCTGTGCTCCACCTTCCCCTCCCCCTCCCCCTCCTCCTCCTGTCCCGGGTCCCCCGATCAGGAGTCCCTACGGCGGGCACCCCCTTTTGTAACCTGCGGGAAGGCCGCTCCAGAGAGAGAGAGAGAGAGAGACGAGAGCCCCCAATGGGCATGCCATCGCATGGAGACGCTGAAAGCTAGAAGAAATGCTACGGGGTGGGATCACTGAACTCAAGGAAGCGCCAAGCGATGGTTAATTGTAGCAATGTGCCGCCCTCCATCCATGTAGCCGTTGCACCCTTCTGCACTGCGGCCATCGTGAACGAAGAA